AAAGTGTGTAGAATGTGGCCGGGCGTGGTGGCTCACACCTGTAATCCCAGCACTTTGGGAGGCTAAGCTGGGTGGATCACCTGAGGTCAGGAGTTCTAGCCCAGCCTGGCTAACATGGTGAAACCCTGTCTCTGCTAAAAATATAAAAATTGGCTAGGTGTGATGGCTCATGCTTGTAATTCCACCACTTTGGGAGGCTGAGGTGGGAGGATCACGAGGTCAGCCAGATCATCACAGTGAAACCTCGTCTCTACTAAAAATACAAAAATTAGCTGGGCATGGTGGTGGGCACTTGTGATCTCAGCTACTCGGGAAGCTGAGGCAGGAGACTCCCTTGAACCCGGGAGGTGGAGGTTGTAGTAAGCCCACACTGCACCATGGCACTGCAGCCTGGGCAGTAAGACTAAAACTCAGACTAAAAAAAATAAATCAATAAAATAAAAATGAAAGTGTATAAACTGCATAGCACATATAGTTGGATCTTATTTGTTTATTTCTTAACCCACTCTGAAAATCTTGGCCTTTTACTTGGAGTATTGGATTCATTATCATTTGTTATCATTGACCCAGTTACACTTACATATGCCACTGGTTTTTTGTTTGTTTTGTTTCGTTTGAGACAGAGTCTTGCTCTGTCACCCAGGCTGGAATGTAGTGGCACAATCTCGGCTCATTGCAACCCCCACCTCCCGGGTTTAAGAGAGTCCCCCTGCCTTAGCCACCCATCAGCTGGGATTACAGAGGCCTGCCACCTTGCACCCAGCTAATTTCTTTCTTCTTTTTTTCTTTGAAACAGAGTCTCGCTCTGTCACCCAGGCTGGGAGTGCAGTGGTGTGACTGATCTCAGCTCACTGTAACCTCTGCCTCCTGTGTTTAAGCAATTCTCCTGCCTCCGCCTCCCGAGTAGGCTGGGATTACAGGCTCACACCACCATGCAATGGCAAATGTTTGTGTTCTTAGTAGAGACAGGGTTTCACCATGTTGGTCTCGAACTCCTGACCTCAAATGATCCACTTACCTCAGCCTCCCAATGTGCTAGGATTACAGGCATGAGCCACAGGCTCAGCCCGATGCCCGGCTAATTTCTACATTTTTACAAAAGTTACGTGTTTTGTGTTTTTTAATTACTGTTCCTCCATCATTGCCTTTGTTGGGCTAAATGAATATTTTCCAGTGTACCATTTTAATTTTTTATATATATATAAAATGTATTTATTTTCTTATGCTTGCTCTGGGGATTTTTTTTTTTTTTTTTTTTTTTTTTTTTTTTTTTTGAGACGGAGTTTCGCTCTTGTTACCCAGGCTGGAGTGCAATGGCACAATCTCGGCTCACCGCAACCTCCGCCTCCTGGGTTCAGGCAATTCTCCTGCCTCAGCCTCCTAAGTAGCTGGGATTACAGGCACACGCCACCATGCCCAGCTAATTTTTTGTATTTTTAGTAGAGACGGGGTTTCACCATGTTGACCAGGATGGTCTCGATCTCTTGACCTCGTGATCCACCCGCCTCAGCCTCCCAAAGTGCTGGGATTACAAGCTTGAGCCACCGCGCCCGGCCCTGCTCTGGGGATTTTAACAAGCATCCTAATTTATCACAATCTTTTTCAGATGAATACTTACTCAATTCCAGTAAAACACAGAAACTTTGTTCCAAGGTAATTTCATCCCCTTTTCCTTCCGTTTCACTGTATTTTTTTTTTTATATATAATTATATGTCTTTATGGCCGGGCGCGGTGGCTCAGCCTGTAATCCCAGCACTTTGGGAGGCCGAGGCGGGTGGATCACGAGGTCAAGAGATCGAGACCATCCTGGTCAACATGGTGAAACCCCGTCTCTACTAAAAATACAAAAAATTAGCTGGGCGTGGTGGCGTGTGCCTGTAATCCCAGCTACTCAGGAGGCTGAGGCAGGAGAACTGCCTGAACCCAGGAGGCGGAGGTTGCGGTGAGCCGAGATCGCGCCATTGCACTCCAGCCTGGGTAACAAGAGCGACACTCCGTCTCAATAAAAAAATAAAAAAATAAAAAATAATTATATGTCTTTATATGTTACAACCTTTTTTTTTTTTAATTCTGGTGTATGAGATCTATTAAAGTATGGTACACATAAAAAAGTCATGAGACATTTGTTTCGTAATAAATAAGGCAGTGGCCAATTATTACTCATTAGTAGCTTTTTTGAGATACGCTATTAACTCTTCCCTTTCTCCCTTCTTCTTAATGCCGACAAAGATCATTTTTGTTCCAGGGATATACTTCTTGGGATTCTCCAAATATTCCATCAGTGTATCCTCTCCCCAGATGATGCCTTTGTTCTTACTGGCTTCAGTTTAAGTGAATCCAGAGGCCTGACCTGTCTTCCGCCCAAAGAGACCATGGAGATTAGGTCCAGTCTTGTGCTTATCTCCCTTTTCCATGGTGTGACATTGGGAACACTTCTGAATAAAAATCCTCTTGCCTTTCTCAACATCACCCATACGGTATTTAATTCTTTTTCGTTAGCGCAACCTTTTTAAAGTGAGAAGTTACACATCATAAGGTATTTTTTTTTTTTTTTTTTTTTTTTTTTTTGAGACGGAGTTTCGCCCTTGTTACCCAGGCTGGAGTGCAATGGCGCGATCTCGGCTCACCGCAACCTCCGCCTCCTGGGCTCAGGCAATTCTCCTGACTCAGCCTCCTGAGTAGCTGGGATTACAGGCACGCGCCACCACGCCCAGCTAATTGGTATATTTTTATATGTCATACATTATAGTATGGTTTTATCATTATTGTGTTATGCAGCCATCTTTTAATTGGATAAGAGGCTGGGCCAAGCACAGTGACATCTGCCTGTAGTCCCAGCTACTTGAGAGGCTGAAGCAGGAAAGCAGCAGGACCACTTGAGCCCAGGAGTTTGAGACCAGCCTGGGCAATAGAGTAAGACTCAATCTTAAAATAATAATAATAAGCCAGGCGAGGTGGCTCACACCTGTAATCCCAGCACTTTGGGAGGCTGAGGTGGGTGGATCACAAGGTCAGGGGTTTGAGACGAGACTGACCAACATGGTGAAACCTGATTTCTACTTAAAAATACAAAAATTAGCTGGGCGTGGTGGTGCACACCTGTAATCCCAGTTACTTGGGAGGCTGAGGCAGGAGAATTGAACCCAGGAGGCCAAGGTTGCGGAGAGCAGAAGGCACACCATTGCACTCCAGCCTGGGTGACAGAGAGAGACTCCGTCTCAAAATAAGAATAATAATGATAATCTAAAGTTTAAGTTGACCAAAAGAAAAATAAATACTGTTTTTTAAATAATTACCTTTATTAGTGTTCTTTCATTTGTTTTTTGATTATCATTCGTTCTATTGAGATGAATCTCACTCTGTTGCCCAGGCTGGACTGCAGTGGCAGAATCGCTGCTCACTGCAACCTCCACCTACCAGTTTCAAGCGATTCTCTTGCTTCAGCCTCCTGAGTAGCTGCGATTACAGGCGCCCACCACCATGTCCAGCTAATGTTTGTATTTTTAGGAAAGACGGGGTTTCACCATGTTGGCCAGGCTGATCTCAAACTCCTGACCTCAGGTGATCCTCCTGCTTTGGCCTCCCAGAGTGCTGGGATTACAGGTGTGAGCCACCCATATGTTAGTTCTTCAGGCATATTTATAAGCTGCTTTGAAGTGGGCTATGTCCAATATCTTGCCCTCTTATGGATAGTTTTGGGTTTCTTAGGCTGGAGTGCAGTGGTGCAATCTTGCCTCACCACAACCTCTGCCTCCTGGGTTCAAGTGATTCTCCTGCCTCAGCCTCCCAAGTAGCTGGGAGTACAGGCATGTGCCACCACGCCGACACTGGCTAATTTTTCCTATGTTTTGGTAGAGATGGCATGTTGGCCAGGCTAGTCTTGAACTCCTTGGCCTCCCAAAGTGCTGGGATTACAGGCGCGAGCCACTGTGCCTGGCCAGGCATAGTTATTTATTTATTTATTTATTTTTGAGATGGAGTTTCGCTCTCGTTACCCAGGCTGGAGTGCAGTGGCGCCATCTCGGCTCACCGCAACCTCCGCCTCCTGGGTTCAGGGAATTCTCCTGCCTCGGCCTCCTGAGTAGCTGGGATTACAGGCACGCGCCACCATGCCCAGCTAAATTTTTGTATTTTTAGTAGAGATGGGGTTTCACCATGTTGGCCAGGCTGGTCTCGAACTCTTGGCCTTAGTGTGGGCCACCAAGCCCGGCCTTCTGATAGCCTTTTCAAAGGAGGCAATCAGATACACATCTGTCTCAGTGAGCGGAGAGGTGACAGTGAATCGGATGGGAGGCAGGTTTGCCCTAAGCAGTTTCCAGCCCGAGTTTTTGGTGATTTGGGGGCCCCAGATACTTCCCTTCCACGTGTCATGTGTCCTGAGTCTCCTGCTTGAACTTCTGACTTCGCTCTCGGGTACGGAAAGCTCTGACAAAGCTTCGTTTTGCATCTGTTGGGTCTCAAATGCCTTCGGTTTAAAACAACCTTCACACCCACTCGGGTTCCGAGTGGGTCCCCACAGCTCGAAAAAACCCACGGAGGGACGAGGAGGGGAAGGAAAGTCGATGGAAGTCTGGCGGCTGCGGAAACCCAGGGCGGGCGAGGCCCCCGGGGGTTGAGTGTCCGCAGCCGAGCGGCCGTCCGGCGCGGCAGGTGCGCGGGTTCGCGGCCGGGCTCGGGGCCGCTTGAGGACGAAGCCCGGAATTCGGACGCAGGCGCCGGGCGGCCCACGGGCTGCCAGCGGTCCGGGCCCTCCGCGCGCCTCGGCGAAGCCCGACCCCCACGCGGCCGGCGCCCCGGTTCCGGCGAGCAGTCGGCGAGTCCCGGCGAGTCCCGGCCCCTCCGGCGGCGGCCTCCGACCTCCGACCCCCGACCTCCGACCTCCGACCCCGCGCCGCGAGCGCTCTGTCGCCGGGCCCCTCGGAGCCGGAGCGGTTTCCGGGGGACGCGTTTCCCGGCGCACCGCGGGCCGCCCGGACCGCGCAGGACGCGGCACCTTCCGGCGGCGGCGCGGAGCCCTGGGCCCGGCTGCGGCCCGGCTGCGGCCCCGGCGCGGTGCTGGCGTTCCCGGAGGCCCGAGCGCGGCAGGGGCCCCGGGAGTCGGCGAGGCCGGCGGGCGGTGAGGCCGCGGGGCTCCGGTCAGTTCGCAGCGCGGACGCGGCCCGCCGCGTGGCTCGGGCCGAGGCCGTCGAGGGGCGCCCTGCGGCGTTTCGGGGCGGCCGGGCGCGGAGAGCCAGGCTCTGCCCTTCCCCTTCCCCGGGCCCGGCGCGGGGCCGATGCTCCCGGGAAGGGGCCCTGCCGGGGTCCGAAGCTCACCGTAGGGCGGTCCGCTCAGGGCCAGGCCCGCGGGGACGCCGGCGTCGCGGGTTCCTCCGCGTTCTCGGCGCTCCTGCCCGGCCGACAGAGCGCCCCACTCCCCAGGGAGGGTGAAGGCCTCGGGGCCCGGCGGCTCCCTCGAGGTCCGCCGGGAGGTGGCGGCGCCGGGGTGGGCTTTCTCCCGCCCGCCGCGCCCCCTCCTTCAGTGCCCCCTGCGTGTGACCCAGCGGCGGTAGTAGAGCAGCCTTCGAAGGGTGACGGCCGCCTCTGAGTCCTACGCCTGTCGCTGGGCCCGGCTCAGCCCTGGCTCTGCTCCTTTCCCCCAGCCTGGAGACGATGCCAAAGCTGCAGGGCTTCGAGTTCTGGAGTCACACCCTTCGGGGGGCCCGCCACGTGGTGGCCCCCATGGTGGACCAGAGCGAGCTGGCCTGGAGGCTGCTGAGCCGGCGCCACGGGGCACAGCTCTGCTACACGCCCATGCTGCACGCGCAGGTCTTCGTCCGCGACGCCAACTACCGCAAGGACAACCTGTACTGCGAGGTGTGCCCCGAGGACCGGCCGCTCATCGTCCAGGTGCGCAGGAGGGGCTGTGGCTGCGACGGGGCTGGGTCTCAGCCCCCGGAATGCCTGGGGAAGAGCCCTTCCCTCTCTGGTGGGACATCACTCTCAGCCTTTCCAGAGACAGCTTCCCAATTCCAGGAGGAGAGGGAGAAGGTGGGGCCAGGCGCGGAGAGTCCACGCAGCCACAGCAGTAATTCCTGTGGCCCGGCCAGGGCTGCAGGGGCACGTCCCAGAATCCAGCCCCATTCCTAGGAGCTGGCCCAGGCAGCCCCCCTGGCACCCCCTGGATTGCTGCCTCTCGACACTCCCTCTTCAGAACCAGTAGAGATGCCTCTGCTCTTCAGAAGTCAGTGATTGTGGCTTCTGCCACAGTTCAGAAGAAAATCTGTAAATCTGGGTGGTTTCACGGCCCCTCCGGCTCTGTCATATTATAAGCCTCAGCAGGACAGGACACCCTCCTGCAGTGAACCTGGGGTCACACTGGACCTCCCGTAGGGCTGGGCAGCAAGGGACTGGTGCCTGGCTGGGCTCATGGCTGACTCCATCTTCTGCAGTTCTGTGCCAACGACCCGGAGGTGTTTGTTCAGGCGGCTCTCCTGGCTCAGGATTACTGTGACGCCATCGACCTGAATCTGGGCTGCCCACAGATGATAGCCAAGAGAGGTGAGTTCCGCGTGGAGCGTGGGGGCTGTGGGGCAGGAGCATAGCCAAGAGAGGTGAGCTCCACGTGGAGCGTGGGGGCTGTGGGGCAGGAGCCAGAGCCGACTCATGGCAGCCCCAGGTGTGGTGAGCTTGGAGGATGGCGGGCCCTGCCTCTGTCGTAGGCTGGAGCCAGTCACCCTCTGTGCTTTGCCTCCGGAGGGTGCTGTCCTCAGGCCCCCGAGGCTGTGGTCTGAGGCCTGCTGGCTCCCACTTCCCTCAGGGAGCTCCTTCTGCATAAACATGCTTGCTGCCAGGGGGTCCCCTCACCCCCTTGTGCTGCTGTGTGTGGGGTCCCAGACTGTGGGGCGGGGGTTCCATTTTCAGCACCTTCTGAGCTTATGCAGCTGGGCAGATAGAGCCCGAGTCTGATGCCAACAAACCACTAGACTCTGACTGTTCCACTGCCCCAACTAGAGACACTGCTGGTTCTGAGGACTTGCGGGGCAGCTCCTGGCCTCGTGGACAGAGGAGTGGGTGCAAGGCCTCGGCCCCATGGCCCGAACACAGGTGTCAGCCAGGCCGTGCTGCTTCTTTGCAGGTCACTATGGCGCCTTCCTGCAGGACGAGTGGGACCTTCTCCGAAGGATGAGTGAGTTGGCTGTGTGGGCGGTGAGGAGCCCCGAGGCCCTTGAGGGGGCACGTGAGCACTGTCCACTTGGTGGGGCTCAGGAGAGGACAGGTGTTGGCAGGGGCTCCCGGCAGCACCTGGGGGTTCCTGCCCACAGCAGGCTCTCTGCTGGAAGGAGGTGGCCATGAAGTTGCCCGTCCTGTGCCACTTGCCCCTTAACACTAGGCAGTAGGTGCCAGGGCAGAGTCCTTGCTCAGGCCCAGCCTCAGATGTCCTGGGAGACAGAGCTGGCCTTGGCCCTACTTGTTTGAACCTGGGAGGGCCGGGGAATGGCGGAGGGAACCTGCCCAGCAACCTGAGGGTGAGGCTCAGACGGTGGCCTGGGCTGCCTCTCAGCCTCCCGGCAAAGCTGCTGGCTTTGCTGTCTGTGGGGCTCTGGGCTCTGGGAACACCATGGCCCCCTCAGAAGCTGCCTCTCTTCTCCCTAGTTTTGCTGGCCCACGAGAAACTCTCTGTTCCCGTCACATGCAAAATCCGTGTCTTCCCAGAGATTGACAAGACTGTGAGGTACGCCCAGATGCTGGAGAAGGCCGGCTGCCAGGTGAGCCCTGGGCTCGCGTGGGTGTGTGGGCCGCGGCTGGGCCTTTACGCAGAGGACACAGCGCAGGCTCTTCCTGTGCCCACTCAGACACCGTGCACCGTCGGCCTCATAGGGGCAGTGGCTCTTCTGACTGGCCTGTCCCCACTGGCTCTGAGTGCCACCACCTCCAGCCCAGCCCTCTGCAGCAGAAACTGCTTTCCCGGCTCCAGGGTTTTGTCCCTGCGGAGAGTAATATCAGGGTCTTCACCATGTTCCTAGCATCCTAGAGGCCGGCAGGGCCTCCTTTTGGGATGCTCAGCTTCCAGTCTTCGAGTGGGTCAGGAAGGGGCCACCTGGCTGTCAGCAGAGTTGCTCCCCTGCCTCTGTTCCCTGCACACTGAGCCTGTCCTGGCACAGGCCTGGACGGGCTACTGTCCCCAGGGATGCGCCTCAAGAGACTCACCTGGAGGCGGACAGCAACCTCCATCACCCGGGGATGAGGCTTGCCTAGGGGCTGTGGGCCCAGTGCCCCACCAGCCTGGAATCATTCTGAAGCCAGTCTCTCCCACGCCTTCGGCTTGGGGCAGTGGGGACGCTGCCACTTCCCAGCCTGGCTGTTGTATGGGTCTGAGCAGCATGTGCAGCCTGCGGCTCCCTTGGAGTGCGGAGACCTTGGGGTAGGCCTTGGGTGGCCATTCCTCAGCCCTGCCTCACAAGCCGAGATGCTGAGGGAAAGTCCCTGGAGTTGACACAGGGCTCAGAGGAGCAATTGGTGGAGGGGGCTCAGGGGCTCAGAGGGGCAGAGGGTCTTGGCGGCGGCAGCGGGGGCTCGGAGGGGGCTTGGAGGGGTGGCGGAGGCTTAGAGAGGCAGATGAGGCTGGGGTGGGGTGGAGGTCTTGGAGGGGGCAGCGGGGGCTCAGAGGGGGTTTGGAGGAGCCGGGGGGCAGAGGAGGGGCGGAGGGTCTTGGAAGGTCAAACGACCGCTGGTCTGTCCTAGTTGCTGACCGTGCATGGGCGCACCAAGGAGCAGAAGGGGCCCCTGTCGGGTGCAGCGTCCTGGGAGCACATCAAGGCCGTGCGGTGAGTGGACAAGAGCAGTGGGTGAGGCAGCCCTCAGTCCTTGGGGCTTTGGTGGGGTCCCAGCTGCACACCTCAGGGTGCTCGGCACACCTGACACCCATGACCACGAAGGGGGCTGGGGCTGAGGCTGGGGGCAGCATCGCTGTGGGAGCAGAAACTACCTGCCAGGATAGAGTCTGGGGGGCTGCCTGGGGCCTGGGCGCTGTCCCGGGTGGGTGGAGGGACAGGTGTTTCTCTGCCAACAGGAAAGCTGTGGCCATCCCTGTGTTTGCCAATGGGAACATCCAGAGCCTACAGGATGTGGAGCGCTGCATCCAGGACACGGGGGTACAGGGTGTCATGAGCGCAGGTGAGTGCAGGTCGGCAGAGCCCAGGACACACCTGGGGCCCGTGCACATGCCCGATGCCACCACCCAGGTCAGCGCCTCCCACCGCTCACTGCCCTCGCCACAGTGCTCTTCGCAGGTAGCGTTCTTCAGTCCCAGTCTGCTCTCATGGGCCGGAGCTGGCCGTGTCCCTGGTGTGAGGCGGCACAGGAGAGTGTCCTGGGTGCCCTAGGCTTTCCTCTGCCATCCACCTGGAGCAGCCCACGAGGCTTCCCTCTCACTCCCTTCCCACAGAAGGCAACCTGCACAACCCCGCCCTGTTTGAGGGCCGGAGCCCCGCCGTGTGGGAGCTGGCCGAGGAATACCTGGACATCGTGCAGGAGCACCCCTGCCCACTGTCCTACGTCCGGGCCCACCTCTTCAAGCTGTGGCACCACACGTGAGCCGTCCCTATGGCAGAAGCCACGCTGGGGGGTTGCCCAGGCAGAGACCATCAGAGCCCGTCTGAGGCATTTCTGCAAGTTTTGTCAAAATAACTTGCTGCTAAGTCAGGTCTTGAGGGGCTGTGGTGACAGGAGTGGAGTTTGGTGGGAGTGTGCCTGGCACTCAGCCTGGGGCCTGGTGGTGGAGCAGGGAGCCCACCCCGCGTGACGGGGCCTCTGTCTCAGGCTGCAGGTGCATCAGCAGCTGCGAGAGGAGCTGGCCAAGGTGAAGACCCTGGAGGGCATTGCCGCCGTGAGCCAGGAGCTGAAGATGCGGTGTCAGGCACGTGCTGGGACTGGCGGGAGCCTGGCCTTGTCGTGGGTGAGGCGTTGGGGCCGTGACCAGGGCCTTGGGCTTTTGCAGGAGGAGATATCCAGGCAGGAGGGAGCGAAGCCCGCCGGCGACTTGCCCTTCCACTGGATCTGCCAGCCCTACGTCCGGCCGGGGTGAGTGCTCCACCCTCTGCCTGCACTTATCCTCAGCCATCAGGGTCAGCTCCCACCCCAGAGGGAAAGGGGGAGGGGGGCCATGGATCCCAGCAGCATGCACCTTCCGTGTGCCTCTCGGCATCCTTGGTGGAGGGTGCTGGTGGCTCAGCCTCCCTCAGTGGACACTTGGATTTTAAATTTTTTTTATTTTTATTTTTTGAGACAGAGTCTCACTGTCACCCAGGCTGGAGTGCAGTGGCGCGATCTTGGCTCCCTGCAATCTCCATCCCCCAGGCTCTGGTGATTCTCCTGCCTCAGCCGCCCAAGCAGCTGGGCCTATAGGCATCTGTCACCACGCCCTGCTAATTTTTGTATTTTTGGTAGAGATGCGGGGTTTCACCGTGGTGATCCAGGATGGTCTTGATCTCTTGACCTCCTGATCCGCCCGCCTTGGCCCACCATGCTCTGCCTTAAATCTTTTAAGATACTTCTCTGAGCTCCTCTGATCCCGGTAGATTTGTCCGTGGGTCAAGAGGTTGACCCCAGCTTCCACGGGGTTCTCAGAGGTGAGGCCCATCTGTGGCCACAGCCCTGCCTGGACCTGGTGGCTCAGACCTTGGCCTGCTTGAGCTGCAAACTCCGTCCCAGGCGGCCCAGCCTCCCTAGCAGCCACTCCTGAGAGGGCTGCACGCTGCCCATGCTCCTCAGCAACCACACTCGCCACAGCCCCCTGGCCTCTCCTCATTGGGGTCCGACCCATGTGGCTGTGGCTGCTGGGCCCCTCATGGTGTCCTTGGGCTCTGCCCGCCGCCCTCCCCACAGGCCGAGGGAGGGGAGCAAGGAGAAGGCGGGTGCACGCAGCAAGCGGGCCCTGGAGGAGGAGGAGTGTGGCACGGAAGTCCTGTCCAAGAACAAGCAGAAGAAGCAACTGAGGAACCCCCACAAGACCTTCGACCCCTCTCTGAAGCGTAAGTACTGATGCCCGAGACAACAGCCTCTTCATCCGGCTCATCTCCTCCACTGCCAGTGACAGGAATCCAGACTTGCGGTCAGTGAGGCTCAAGGCCCAGAGCTGGAAGCAGATGCCTGGGGGTTTGGAGTGGTCAGCCCGACTTGGGGTCCGAGTGCGGGCACCTGTGCAGGCCACACGGGTGGGACGTAGCTCAGTGAATCAGACGAGGCTGTGGGACGAGCCTCTCAGCCAGGTGCCACCCAGGTGGCCACTGAGGGGCTCGTCTGCAGGTCAGGGCCTTGGGTTGCTGCAGCTGTCCCTGCCCCGCCTCACACTGAGCAGCCACTGAGAGGGCGGCAGGGGTACACAGGAACGTGTGCGTGGGCCAGAGATGGCGGCAGGGCGGGCTGGGTGAGACGGGATGGTGCTCACCCCTCTCCTCACGGCCACCAGCGGCAAGGCCTCAGCCCGGTGCTGTCTCCCCTGAGAATCCTGGTGCCCCCCCACATCCTGGGCCAACCAGTCTGGGCCCTCAGCAGGTGGCAGCCTCCCGAATTTCTCTGACAGCTTTACAAGCTGAAGGGGGGACTACTGAGGGCCCTGCAACCTTCCCATGTAACCACCAGGGGGCTGGCAGTCTACGAGCAGCTGCCACATCAGCCTGGTGCCAGCAATCCCCGACTGCCACACTGCCCCGCAGGGCCACTGCTCGAGGCAGCTGGGAGGGGCAGGAAATGGGGCTTTGGGCTGAGTTCTTGATCCTTGGCCCTTTTGAGTGGGAGACCTGGCACTGAAGGGCATGGAACCCCCTTGTCCCTGCCTGGGAGTGGGACAGATGAGGCTGCTCATCCTGCCAGGGTCCCCCAGCCCACCTGCTTCCTATCCATTTTCTGTAGGATGGTCCCCCACATCCCCTCACCCATCCCTTGCTGAGGAAAAAGCAGATGTGGCCGGCCTGCATCCTCTGCCCTCCCAGAGCCTCCCGGGCTGGCTGGCCGCAGCTGGCATGGATGTTGCCAGCGGGCTCCGTGCAGGTGACGGGGCGGTCCCCGTAGCTCTGCCACCAGCTCTTACTCATCAGCACCCTTTTCTTTTCCCAGCAAAATACGCAAAGTGTGACCAGTGTGGAAACCCAAAGGTGAGTGGGTTCCAGCTGCATGCCGCCAAGGCCTCGTCTCTGGGGGGGTGGGCAAGGTGGTCCCTGCGCTGCTTGGGGTGGCAGGTCTGGTGCCCACACAGCTGGGTTTGTAGTGTGGCCCAAGGTGGCATGGGTGCCTCAGGAGGGCCCCTTGCTTCCAGCCAGCCCCCTGTCTAGGTGGGTTGGGGTGAGGGGGTCCCAGGCCTGCGTCCAGGCCGTGGGGATCTTCTGGAGGCTTCCCCGGTGGGCTGCTCCCCTGCTGGCTACCTGTCCCCGGGAACCATGCTGGCCACAGGCTCCCCAGCTTTCTTGTGCCCAGGGCAACAGATGTGTGTTCAGCCTGTGCCGCGGCTGCTGCAAGAAGCGAGCCTCCAAAGAGACCGCGGACTGCCCAGGTGAGGCTGCCTGCCATCTGCCCCCGCAGTGAGCACACCCCTCTGCCTCCTTACCCTTGACTCCCCTCTCACTCTCTGCCAGGTCACGGATTGCTTTTTAAAACCAAATTGGAGAAATCTCTGGCCTGGAAAGGGATGCAGCCTGAGCTGCAGGAGCCTCAGACAGCCACACCCGGCACACCAGGTGGCTTCTCAGAAGTCATGAGTACTGCTCTGGCCTGAAGGCCCAGAACCCCCACCCCCAGGACCGCTCCTGGAGCCTGGACTCGTCCTACTTAAGGAAACGTCTTTTACTCAGGGAATCTCCCCTTCCTTTAACGTGGAAAGACGCGCCCTGTCCCCCTCGCCCGCCCTGGGGGCCCGGAATGCTGCAGTGGGGAGCAGGCCCCAGGCTGGACCTGCCCTGTCCTCAGCACACACGTGCAAAAGCGAACAATAAATCATTTCAAAGATGCCAGAGCCATAGCCTGTGATGGCCGCCCCCAGACCCAGGGAGGCATGAGCCAGGGCAGGTGCTGTGGGGACCGGGGGGGGGGGGGCGGCCTTCTGAACAAGATGCGTCTAAATGAAGGCAGCACACGCGCCTCTGTGCCGACAAACGTGGGGACTGACTGAGGGCCGAGCCCCAGGGAGCCAGCCTTCAGAACCCTGAGGCCACCCAGGGGTGACCAGAGTCTGCACAGCAGGAAGGAACGGCCAAGGGCAGTGCTCAGTCTGCTTTTTAATGGATACTGCCCACTGGTCTGTACCTAACCAAGGCGGGAACAGGAGGGGTCTGGGAAGTGGGGCCACTGGGCCTGGGTGCCGCCCATTCTGCTCCCTGGGGACAAACCCATGGGGTTGAGCCCTCCAGGCCTCTTTCCAGGAAGGGCCACAACTAGCAGCCGCCTGCCTCCCCAGCCCCAGCAAGGGCACGCAGGCTGGGGAGCACCCAGTGGCCAGGCCCTCAGCTGGGCTGAAGGCAGCACTGAGCCGCCTGGAAGTGAGCAGGTCCATGGGGTGGGGCGGGGTGCAGGTGTCCTGGAGGCCAGGGGCCGCCCTCACATGTTGGTGCTCATCCGGGACTGGCTGTTGGCTGGAGTCAGCTCCCCCTGGCTCCCTTCTCTGGGTGGGGACTGCCAAAGAGACGAGGAGCAGCTAAGCCACCAGGCCCACGTGCCACACTCCGCACCTGCCCACCCACTCTGACGCCTGCCCACCTTGACGTGGATCTGGTTGCGGAGCACGGCTGCCCGCAGCATCATGGCCTTGGCGCGGCGCTGGAACTCCTTGCCCATCAGCAGAGACTTCTCAAAGGTGGTGCTGCGCTGATCCACATCCCGGGCGTACAGGATCTGCACAGACACAGGCTCAGTGGGGCTCAGGCTCCCCCACAGCCACTCCCACTGCCCCGCAGCCCACGGCCACCTTGCTGTGGGAGTCCACGCGGGCACTGATGAGTCCCTCCAGGATTAGCTGCGTCAGCTCGTCCTCCAGGGCGGCCACCGTGGTGTTGAAGGCCGCCGCCATCCTGTGCATGTCGGCCGACACGTAGGGGCTGAAATACTGCAGGGCAGAGGAAAGTCGGCTCCACGGTGCCCTACGTGGCTGCCTACCCGCCGTTGTGTGCCAGCCTGACCCCCACGCTTACCTGGATGAGGGCACGGTTGCGAATCTGGGTGTACAAGGTCCTGACGTGGGGAGCCAGATACATGTCCAGGAGCAGGTTGTCCTGGGGAAGGGGCTGGTCAGAACCGGGGCAGGAGGCCAGACAGGACCCCATCTCGCCGCACCCCAGACCGGGCCCCACCTTCATCTCGTCCAGCATCTTGAGGCACGAGGCATACTTGGACTCGTAGAACTTGAAGATGATGTCTCGAACCTGCGGCTCCAGCTCCAGGAACAACTTGAAGGAGCTGCCGAGGCAGACCCTCGACCTCAGTCCTCTGCCTGCCCCGCCCTCCAAGTTGCCAGTGGGACACCAGTCCCCAGACAAACCATGGCAAGATGGTGGGGCCAGGGGGCCAGGATGTGCAAGGCCAGAGCAGCGGCCTGCGGAGAGGGATGGGGACTGCAGGACCGGGGCGCCCACCTGCTGGAGATGACATTGCGCTGCAGCTCCTGCCGGTCAAAGGTAGCCAAGGCACACAGGCCACCATAGACGGCCACGTTGCTGGGGGACAGCAGCTGAGAAGCAGAGACCCAGCATCACAGGCAGAGGAGGGCCAGGCCACCCCTGCCCCACCACCCATTCAGAGAATGCCCAAGACTCCATTGTGAGAGAACCCACCCTCCTACAAAAGCATCCAACCCATGAGCCCATCCTCAGTCTCCCAAATCCCCAAGAGGGTCCCTTACCTCAGGGAAGTCACAGTGATCAAACGACGCCAGCAGGAAGCACTTGGCAGCTTGCTTGTACTTCCTCGCGGCCAGCTCCGCCAAGCCTGGTGGACGGAGAGTGGTGAGGGGAAGAAGGGGATGAGGCCCAGAGCCTCGGGGGAGCCGCTAATGCCTTGAGACCAGGAGGAAGGCGCCCATCAGCGGCTCGCTGGCCTCTCCTGCCCGGGAGCTGTTCCTCAGCACTGGGGACAGATGCTCTAGTCCTAGATGGAAACAGCCTCCCCAGTGCCCAGCAGGCTCCCTGACGCTAGGCGTGCAGGGAAGCCTTAGGCTGCTAGCATGGGACACCGGGCTCAGACCTGCCCCAGGCCCACAGTGGCAGCATGTCAGCCCTGGCTTACCTGGGACAGATGAGGCACCACCTGCACCCACACACGTGCCCTACAACATCCTCCATCCTGCCAGGGAAGGTTTCCCCAGCTGAGGTAGGGACCAGCTACTGCCCTGGGCTGGGAGGACTCGGCAACACGGGAACATGGGGCCAGTTGGGCACCACCCAGGCCCTTACCTGCAGCACACTTGAGCTTGGTGAGGATGGCCTGGGTCTGGCTGTCACGCTCTCCTCGCTGCTGTAGGGGGAAGCCACATGCGTGAGGCCCATTTCCTGGAGCTTGATGCCCAGCCCCCAGACCGAGGAGAGAAGGCAGATTCACTGGGGGAGAATAAGGTGGCGGGGGAGGATAGGGGGGCCAGCAGTGGTCAGGAGCCCTGGGGCGAGGTCTCTGTACCTCGGCAATCTCTGGGGTGGACTCGGCCTTGCTGACGTAGCTCAGCACGTGAGACCAATTCTGCAGGTAGACGCTGACCTGGCGGGCGGCGGCAGGGCCAAGTGAGCCCAGGTGCCCCGATGGCCCCGCCCTGCCGCCCCCGCCCACCCGCCGAGGCAGGCCGACCTTGATGACGTTGAGGCACATGTTGATGACGTGCTTGGCGCTGGTGCAGTAGTCCCGGGCCCGGGAGTAGCACTTGAGGGCGTTGCTGAGATCCCCACAGTCCAGATAGTGGTCGCCCAGATCGTCGTGACCACGCCGGATGCTCTCCTTGATGGAGTTGCCCTTGTAGTTCTTCAGGTCCGTGTCTAGCTTCTCCAGCTTCAGCAGGGCCTTCTTCCGCGTGGCCTCCACCCAGGCCGTGTCCAGGGTCGGGGGCTCCACGCCACTCTCAGGGATGGCGTCAGGTGCGTTCTGCAGCTCCCTGAGAGAGGACCTGGCCATCAGGATGGCGATGGTCACAGGCGCCACGGAGAAGAGAAGGAAGCCCCCAGCCTAAGGCTGCCCTCGCAGCCCCTCCCACTGGCCCCGAACCCCATCTCCAGGGCCAGTCTGCACCAGGGCCGCAGCAGTAACTGCTGATGCCAGGAGCCCACAGCCAGGTGGGGAAGCCAGCAGCGGGGATGTCCAGAGCCACGGTCTCCAACAGTTACCCTCAGAATCAAATCCCTGTGTGCACACGCGCAGGTGAAGCCACACCACAGAGGGCACTTCCACTCTCCACCCACCCGACTTCCATGGCAGGAGCACAGGAAGGGGGCGCAGCCCCGGACACCTGCTCCCTTGGAGGGCTCTGCTTTCTCTCGACAAGCCCCTGGCCTCACCTGGTGGCCTCTGAGAGCTTGCGATGGATCTCCTCATACATGTCGACGTTGAAGGTTCTCTGCACGAAGGAGAGGGCCATCTTCAGGGCCTCCACCCGCAGCGTGGGGCAGTGATCAGCAATGAACTGCAGCCGCTCGATACGCATCAGGCCGCTGTAGCTGGCCGCATACTGCTCCAGATCCTGGGGGTGGGCGCAGACAGGTCAGGCAGGGTGTGTGAGGCGGGACCCCAGCCCCAGGCCTGAGGGTCAGGAGCTGGGGCCCGGTTGCCTCCCAGCCAGAATGCCGCCCTGGGCCCACAATAGGAACCGGGTACATGGGCACAGGGGTGCAAGACTGACTGCTGTCCCAGGTGCTGCAGAGATGCCTGGGTAGGCCTGGGGCAGCACCCAGTTTCAGGGATGGACACCCACTAGTGACTGCTGGTCACTGGGCTGAGCAGGGGCAAGAGTGGCCCTGGCTCCTCTATGAGCAGCATCTGAAGCTGAGCCACAAGCCTGATGGGAGTGGACAATCAGAAACTCTAACGGTTTCGGGGGCAGAAAAAGACACGACATAGATCACTGAGAAGGATCAGTCTACCTGCTGTGCAGGCTGCGGAGGGGAGTCTGCCCTGTACCCCCAGCAGAACTAAGACACCCGAGGTCCCGCACTGGGCTCCGTACCAGAGTGGGGTTCTCCACCACGTAGTTGACATCGGGTGCATTCTGCGGGTCTTCCTGGGGGTCCACGTCGATCTGCATGGGCTCCACCGCCCCCTGCAACATGGGCCAGGCACCTGGCACCTCGTTCTGGGGACCGCCCCAGGAGGGCGAGAGACCTGCACTGTTCTCTGAGCTCAGCTCTGCCGGAGGTCTTCCAGGCTGATCGGACCACACTGCCACTGCTGCTGCCCGCCAGGTGTGCCCTCCCAGCCACCCTCGCTCTCACCCAGGCTCCTGCCCCACCACATCAGGGAGGGGTCTCCTCACAAAACTCCAAAGCTCAGCAGCAGAAACCCCTCGCCTGATTCTAGCTGCTCATCTCTGAAAGCCAGAAAGCAGACAGGGGCCAGCCAACGACACAGGGGCTCCTGAGGGCCCCTCCGCGTTCCCAGCCACCGTTCTGATGCGGTCTCCTCCAAGCCACAAAGAACCGGATGCCACCTCAACCCCGAGGCAAGAGGGCCGGCCCCGGAATCTGTCCTGAGCAGCGGGGCAGCCATACCGGGCCGAGAGTCACGCCACGGGTTGGGAGAAGGGGGGAAAGGGTCACCTCGGGGACCGCCACGGCCCCCAGCCGGGAGGCGCAGACGAGCCAGGACCTCGGCTTGAAACAGGGCCGGCCGGAAGGGCCGCCGTGCCGGGGCCTCCGCGCTCCTTCGGGAAAAGCACCAGGCGCTCGGCTCCCTCCGCAGGCCCCGGGCCCGCCGGGGCGCCCTCCCCTCCTGCGCTCGGCACTGCGTCCCTGTTCTCGGCCGGCAGAGCAGCAGGGGCCCGGCCGCGGCGGCGGCGGCCGGGGCCCTGCTCCCCCCTCCCTCGCTCGGGGGTCCCTGTCCTGGAAGGTACCTCGTAGAGCAGCGTACAGGCCGACAGGCTGGCGCTCAGGCTGAAGTCCCCGGCCGTGCCGGGCAGGACGAGCTCTGACCTACTGCTGTGAGGGGCGCGGAACAGATCTGTCACTGACGCGGAGGCCGAGCTGGGGGCCGAGCTATCCCTCATCCTGTCCTGACTTTCTGCACCCCCCGACCCTGACACAGAGCTGGCTGGCTGCTGAAGGGAGAAAAAGCGTTAGCGGCGGGCGGCCGGGAACCGCTCCCGGGAGCTGCTGGGAGGGAGGCGGGGCGGGCGCAGCCCGGGGGCCCCCGGCCGGAGCGCGCAGCCAGGGCGGAGACGCGCGCTGCCCGCCGAGGCCCGGCACGAAGCGCGCCCGGCGACTCCTGGCGCAGGCCCCGCTCCCCGGCTCTACCTCGGCCCGGCCCCGGCGGCGAGGGGCGCGGGGGCAAGGAGGCCCGGCGCGGCCTCGGCTCGTTACCTGCAAGTTAAACACCTGAACCGGCAGCGGCATCTTGCTCCCACCCCGCCGCGGCGTGCTGTCCACTTCCGGGGCAGGGGGCCTCTTCTTCCGGGGCGCGGGGCGGGGCGGAGCCGCCGGGCGCTTAAAGGGGCCGCAGTCCGCCCGCGGCTCCGGCCAGGCCCTCCGCTCCCGGCGCCGGGGGTCCCGGCGGCCGCATGAGCCGCGCGCGCGGGGCGTCGTGCCGGGCCTGCCTCGCGCTGGCCGCGGCCCTGGCCGCACTGCTGCTGCTGCCGCTGCCGCTGCCCCGCCCGCCGGCCCCGGGCCCGCGCGCGCCCCCGCCCGCGTCCGCGTCCGCCGCCCCCAGCCTGGGGCCCGACGACGTCTTCATCGCCGTCAAGACCACGCGGAAGAACCACGGGCCGCGCCTGCGGCTGCTGCTGCACACCTGGATCTCCCGGGCCCGCCGGCAGGTGCGCCGGGCCCCCGCCCGCCCCGGCTCGCAGGGTCGAGACCCGGCCCAGGCCCCGGGGGCTCCGCGTGGCGGGGTCGGTCCCCGGCCTGGGCGGCGCCCCCGACGTCTCACAGAGCGTTTCTCCCCCAGACGTTCATCTTCACCGACGGGGACGACCCTGAGCTCCAGCTCCAGGGCGGTGAGTGTCTCCCGAGCCCCGGCGCCCGCTGGGAGTCCGGGAGGTCCGGGGAGGCCGTGCACGGCGCTGCCCAGGTCACACGGCCTGCGGAGGCCCACCCTGCCAGCCGAGCCCTGCTCCCCACCAGCCCCTCACCCTGGACGCTTCCCAGGTCCCCTGCAGAAGCCCCGGCAGGGAATCCGCCCCTCCCGTCCACGCCAGGGTGAGCAGCGTCCATCCCGTTTCCACTCAAGACATCCTCGCGAAGGGCCATCAGCTTCAGCCCCAGGGGCACCAGCAGGGTCAGCGCGTGAGGGCCAGGGCGGTGGCTGGACCTAGGCAAGGTGTCCGCGCATGGCAGCCAGCCAGACTGTGCCCTGGCCCTCGGGGGCAGGCGGGCATAGGCCTTGCCGCAGTCCCCGTGCCAGCCTCCACCCGCTTCCCGTCTCCGAATCGCAGGCGGCCGTGTCATCAACACCAATTGCTCCGCTGTTCGCACCCGCCAGGCCCTCTGCTGCAAAATGTCCGTGGAGTACGACAAGTTCATCGAGTCAGGTCGCAAGTACGCGGCACCGCCCGACCTGCAGAGCCCAGAGCCAAGCTGGGTGGGGGCCTCCCGTCCACCTATGCCAGGCCCTCACACACGGGACTCCCCCCACCCACAGGTGGTTCTGCCATGTCGACGATGACAATTACGTGAACCCTAAGAGCCTCCTGCACCTGCTTTCCAGCTTCTCACCCAGCCAGGATGTCTACCTGGGGCGGCCCAGCCTGGACCACCCCATCGAGGCCATGGAGAGGGTCCAGGGTGGCAGAACTGTGAGTGCCAGGGCAGACCCCTTCGCTGACGCCAGCCCGGGAGGCACAGCAGAGGGCATAGAAAGCTGGGTGAGAAGGGCGTAGGGCCGGGCCCAAGCCGACCCACCCAGGTGGTTTGCAGGTGGTGTTTCAGGAGCAGGCCAGGCCCCCGACCTGACCCTGACAGTGAGCCTGGGGCTGGGCTAGGTGGGCAGGGTTTGGAGACCACGGATCAATGACCTGTAGAAGCCACCAGCTCCTCCTGCCCCAGGAAGCTTCTGTTATCTGGGCAGGATGTCCTAAGGGGCAGCTTAAGAAAGAAGACTGGGGAGTCCTGTGCAGAGTTAGGGGTGAGAAGCCCCGTCTCGAGCAGCTCTGACCAACACCCCATCCCCAGGTGACCACGGTCAAGTTCTGGTTTGCTACTGGTGGGGCCGGGTTCTGTCTCAGCAGAGGCCTCGCCCTCAAGATGAGTCCATGGGCCAGGTGAGTGGGGGGTCCCGCTGCCCGGGCTGGGAGGCGGAGGCTGAGACCTCAAAGGCGCTGACCGGCCTCCCCCAGCCTCGGCAGCTTCATGAGCACGGCCGAGCAGGTGCGGCTGCCGGATGACTGCACAGTGGGCTACATCGTGGAGGGGCTCCTGGGCGCCCGCCTGCTGCACAGCCCCCTCTTTCACTCCCACCTGGAGAACCTGCAGAGGCTGCCCCCGGACACCCTGCTCCAGCAGGTACAGGGGCCTTGCACCACCGCAGCTCCCCCAGCGGCCCCACTGCCCGGCTGAGCAAGCGGGTGGGATTTGCGTGCGGCTGGGGGCCGACCCTGGACAGACTCCAGGCCTGCTGGACAGGGTCCTCAGGCGCAGTCGGGGTGCGCCGTCAGGCAGAGGGATGAGGGGAAAGGCGCCACGCTCAGGGCGGGGGGCGTGGTCTTTGTGGTGACGTCTCATCACGTGGATCAGAGGGAATGAGGGTCAGCTTGGGTCTGGAGGATTCGGATCCCTCGCCCCTGTCCCCCAGGCTCTGCCTGAGGTGTCCCCCGCTCAGCTCATGCCACCCTTCAGTGCTGTTCCCGAGCTTCCCCAAGGATGTGGGGAGAAAGAAACGGGCAAGGGGGCTCTAGCAGGGCTCCTCGCAAGGGAGAGGCAGGGCCCAAGCCCGGAGCAGACCACACTCTGCCCCTACCATCCCCTCCCAGGTGACCTTGAGCTATGGTGGTCCTGAGAACCCACATAACGTGGTGAATGTGGCCAGAGGCTTCAGCCTGCAGCAGGACCCCACACGGTGAGCGGGCAGTGGTATGGGCAGGCCCTCAGCCCCATGGGGGTGCTGGCATCAGCATGCCCCTCCACAGCCCTGACGCCACTTCCTCCCTCTCCAGGTTTAAGTCTATCCACTGCCTTCTCTACCCAGACACGGATTGGTGTCCCAGGCAGAAGCAGGGCGCCCCAACCTCTCAGTGACACCAATGGCCCCGACCCACCGCTGCCTGGGCTCCATCCCAGCTGCGGGAAGTTGGAGCCCCCCACATGGCCTCGGTGGGCTCCATCAGGTGCCACAGCCACGCTAGTGAGATGCAGGTGCCTGGCAGACCCTCGGGCTAGTCTGGCATCTGGGCTCCACTGCTTACTGCTAAAGGCGGGTGCCAGGCTGGCCAGGTGCTGAGGAGCAGGCTCCAGGCTAAGATCCTGGTCCAACCATGGCCATGGCAAGGACTTAGCTTGGTAGGGTTGGTGGGGGATGCCACCCTCTCTGCCACAGGCTGGGTGCATGGCCAGGCATTGCAGTGGGGACTCAGGCCCAGGAAGGCCGAGCTCTGCTCCCAGCCGCCAAGCCTCATTCGGAGGCCTCCTGACTGGGGCCACAGACATGCTTTTCTCCGCTCTGAGTTATGGCTCAAGGCGCCTTTCTGGGTCCTGCTCCCGCCCCACTGTGCCTGGGCCCATAAACAGCAGGAGCCTTTTGTCTGGGGCTCCCTGGACTGAGACCACTCCTGGCCCACCCGTCCCTACACACCCACCTCCCCGCCCAGTGGCTTCCACAGGGGACATGGGACAGGGGCCATCATGCCCCTTCTGCCTCCTGCTTTGCTGTTGCCAAGCATGAGTAAAGGCTCTGTTCTTACCCCATGCGGCTCCCGTCTTAATCACCCACCAGACCAGCTCTGCTGGGTCCCTGCCATGCCGCCTCCGCCTCCAGGAAGGCTCTGTCCCAGGCAGGGCTGTATCCTCGCTGTCCTCCTACCCAGCCTTGAACCCACCAGACTGGAAGCCAAAGCCTCTAGCAGGGGTGGCGTGTGGGGGTCCTGCCGGGAGAGGCAGACACTGGACGCTGCCATGAGAGACTACCTTCCTGAGTGTCCAGCTTGCCTTCTCGCTGTGTGTTGTGTGGAACCAGTGTGCGTGTGGGTGGATGTGGGCGTGGATGTGTGCACAGTTGTGTGCATGTACATCAGGATGAGTGAACACACGGAGCTGGTGTGTATGTGCCTATAGGTGAGTATACACCTGTGTGCATGTCCATATGCCAGTGCAGGAGTGGGTGTGTCCCTGGCAGCGTCTGCGTGCGTGGGCGTGTGGAGGGAGGGAGAGGGAGGCAGCACGTGGAGTTCACTGGTTTCTGTCTCATGCCTTCGTGCTTGGCCTGGAGCAGAAGGCGCCCCAAGGACGCTTGAGGTTAATCATGACTGGGTCCTCAGGTTTCCTGGGGAAACCTTTGTCCACTGCAGGCTCTGGGCAGGGAGAGGAGTTCTGGGGCTCAGAACAAGTGTCAGGGGTAAATTTCAGCAAATCTGAAACCTGCATCTCAACAGAAGCAAGAAAAAAGTGAATTCTTGAAAGTTGCTGCAGAATTGTAGACGCCCCAAGAGAAGGCAGCTGGTGTCAGCTGTGGCTGTCTCCATGGGGCCCTGGGTCCCTCGTGCTGGCTCTCCTGGATGTGGGGTTTGGGAGTTGCATTCTCCTCTCCTGAGACCTCCCCGCCAAGCCCGGCCACACCGGTGCCCAAGAACGGTGTCCTTGGAGTGTGGGGAACGTGGACTAGGATGCGTTGGCACCACCAGAAAGGGTGTCCGGACAAAGTGCCCGAGAGGCCGTTTCCAGGCCACGAGGCTCCAGCAGAAGTCGGTGGACACGCGCGTTCCAGGCGTCCAGCTTGCAGCTCCTCTGAGAAAACCGTGTTGTATCCGTTTTACCTCAACTGCGTCAACGCTGGTCTTAAAACCTAACGCATTATGTTGTGAAGCAGAAAGGAAATTGGTGTTGAAGCCACGCTCTGAGGTTGCGTTGTGTCCGGTCTGGGAGGTCACCCTGTTTCATTTACGGTCTCCTTTTTAAGTTTAGGTGCACGATGTCCTGAGGCCCTTTTCCTAAGCAACCAGCCATACCACTCCCTTTTGTATTGTTGGGCTGTGTTGATAAACGATTCAAACCAGCAATTTTCCACTTTGATTCCAATAGCCATTCCCAGGCAGGGCCAGTCCCGCTGCTCACTTTCTATAATACTTTAGAAAGTATTATAGAAACTTTAGAAAGTTCTGGGAAGAGACTCTGGCCAGCCCCGGCCCAGTTCCTGCTGGATCCAGTTGGCTCCAGCTGCAGAGAGCCGGCATGGACGCGGGTGGGGAGAGAACGGAGTTGCAGCCACACCTCTGGAGGAAACGGGGCTTGGAGGCGGCAGGGGGTATTCAGGGGGCCGGCCTCGGGAGAAGAAACCAGACAGGGCCCCATAGGCAGGCACTGTTAAGCCCCAAGACAGCAAAGTGGGAACAGGGACAGGTCACAGGAAGCATGTCATGGCAGCCGACAGGGAAGGGTCCACACTCTGGACACCTCCCTTCAGCCCTAGGGGCCTCGAACAACAGGAAACCACCAGCTCCAACACCTCCCGACTGTGGTGGAACACGGGCGCTCCACAAGCACGCAGGACGTTCTCCAGGAGAGACCATATGTCAGGCCACAAATCAAGTCTCAATGTATTTAAAAAGACAGACGTTAAGCCCTGTCACAGTGGCACAAGCTTATAGTCCCAGCACTTCGGGAGGCCAAGGCGGGAGGATCACTTGAGCCCAGGAATTCAAGACCAGCCTGGGCAACACAGGGAGACTCCCCCAGAGTCTTCCTTTAAAAAAAAAGTATTATAGAAAGTGTCATCTCTGAATCTAGAGCAGAAGGAAATCTGGAAAAATCACAAATTTGTAGAAATGTAATAACACGCTCTTAGCCAGTGGGTCAAGGAAGAAATCACAAAATACTTGGAGACAAATAGAAACAACTTAAAACTTAGGAGATGCAGTTTTGCTAAAGGAGAGACTTGAAATTGTGAAGTTGGCATTCAAAAGAAGGCTCCTCCGCGCCCTGCTGCCCGTGGCATAGCCCCACTCTGTGTGGAACAGCTTAACGATGATCCTAAAATGAGTATACATCCTTGAGGGGTGGACACCCCATTTTCCATGACATGCATCTGTCACACTGTGCACCTGTATCAAAACATCTCAGACACCCCATAAATATATATCCTTACTATGTGCCCACAAAAAAAATTTTTTTTTTTTTTTTGAGACGGAGTTTCGCTCTTGTTACCCAGGCTGGAGTGCAATGGCGCGATCTCGGCTCACCGCAACCTCCGCCTCCTGGGTTCAGGCAATTCTCCTGCCTCAGTCTCCTGAGTAGTTGGGATTACAGGCACACGCCACCATGCCCAGCTAATGTTTTGTATTTTTAGTAGAGACGGGGTTTCACCATGTTGACCGGGATGGTCTCGATCTCTCGACCTCATGATCCACCCGCCTCGGCCTCCCAAAGTGCTTGGGATTACAGGCGTGAGCCACCACACCCGGCCAATTTTTTTTAAATAATAATTTAAAAAGAGAAAGAAAAAAACACACAAAAAAACACAAAAGTCCGGGCGTGGTGTCTCACGCCTGTAATCCCAGCACTTTGGGAGGCTGAGGCGGGTGGGTAGATCATCTGAGGTCAGGAGTTCAAGACCAGCTTGGCCAACAAGGTGAAACCCCATCTCTGCTAAAAATACAAAAATTAGCCAGGTGTGGTGGTGCACGCCTATGATCCCAGCTACACAGTAGGCTTAGGCAGGAGAATGGCTTAAACCTGGCCAGGTGGTGGTTTCAGTGAGCCAAGATCGCACCACTGCACTCCAGCCTGGGACATGGACCGAGATTCTATCTCAAAAAAATATTTGTATAAATAAATGAAATAAAATACATGAAGCAAAAATTGGTAGAAAGGGCCAGGCGTGGTGGCTCAAGCCTGTAATCCCAGCACTTTGGGAGGCCGAGGCAGCTGGATCCCGAGGTCGAGAGATCGAGACCATCCTGGTCAACATGGTGAAACCCCGTCTCTACTAAAAATACAAAAAATTAGCTGGGCATGGTGGCACGTGCCTGTAATCCCAGCTACTCAGGAGGCTGAGGCAGGAGAATTGCCTGAACCCAGGAGGCGGAGGTTGCGGTGAGCCGAGATCGCGCCATTGCACTCCAGCCTGGGTAACAACAGCGAAACTCCGTCTCAAAAAAAAAAAAAAATTGGCAGAAAGGAAGAGAGAAATAGACAATTTGTTTCCAGAAATTGCAGATGTTGAAGATTTCAATACCTCACTCTCAATAATGGACAGAACAACCAGAAAAAAAACCCAGTAAGGACACAGAAGACTACACCAGCACGCAACGCTGCATACCAGTTAGCCCAGCCTCGTCCCTAAATGTCACATCTGCAGAAAACTGCACCCAACGCAGCACAATACACATTCTCCTCAAGTGCACGTGGAGCATTCTCCTGGGTAGACCTTCCATGAGACAAGCCACAATACATTTAAAAGGACAGAAATCGGGCCGGGCACGGTGGCTCACGCCTGTAATCCCAGCACTTTGGGAGGCCGAGGCGGGTGGATCACAAGGTCGAGAGATCAAGACCATCCCGGTCAACATGGTGAAACCCCGTCTCTACTAAAAATACAAAACATTAGCTGGGCATGGTGGTGCGTGCCTGTAATCCCAGCTACTCAGGAGGCTGAGGCAGGAGAATCGCTTGAACCCAGGAGGCGGAGGTTGCGGTGAGCCGAGATCGCGCCATTGCACTCCAGCCTGGGTAACAAGAGCGAAACTCCGTCTCAAAAAAAAAAAAAAAAAAAAAAAAAGGACAGAAATCTTACAAAGTACATTCTCCAACTGCAATATAATGAAATTAGAAATCAATAATGAAAAGGAAATTAGGAGCTTCACAAATATGTGAAAATTAATCAACGTGTTCCTGAATAACAAAGGGGTAAAAAAAAATGGGACAAGGCCGGGCGTGGTGGCTCACGCCTGTAATCCCAGCACTTTGGGAGGCCGAGGCGGGTGGATCACGAGGTCGAGAGATCAAGACCATCCCGGTCAACATGGTGAAATCCCGTCTCTACTAAAAACACAAAAAATTAGCTGGGCATGGTGGCTCGTGCCTGTAATCCCAGCTACTCAGGAGGCTGAGGCAGGAGAATTGCCTGAACCCAGGAGGCGGAGGTTGCGGTGAGCCAAGACCGCGCCATTGCACTCCAGCCTGGGTAACAAGAGCGAAACTCCGTCTCAAAAAAAAAAAAAAAAAAAAAAAAGGACAGAAATCTTACAAAGTACATTCTCCAACTGCAATATAATGAAATTAGAAATCAATAATGAAAAGGAAATTAGGAGCTTCACAAATATGTGAAAATTAATCAACGTGTTCCTGAATAACAAAGGGGTAAAAAAAAATGGGACAAGGCCGGGCGCGGTGGCTCAAGCCTGTCATCCCAGCACTTTGGGAGGCCGAGGCGGGTGGATCACGAGGTCAAGAGATCGAGACCAGGGGCCGGGCGCGGTGGCTCAAGCCTGTAATCCCAGCACTTTGGGAGGCCGAGGCGGGTGGATCACGAGGTCGAGAGATCGAGACCATCCTGGTCAACATGGTGAAACCCCGTCTCTACTAATGGTGCAAAAAATTAGCTGGGCATGGTGGCCCGTGCCTGTAATCCCAGCTACTCCGGAGGCTGAGGCAGGAGAATTGCCTGAACCCAGGAGGCGGAGGTTGCGGTGAGCCGAGATCGCGCCATTGCACTCCAGCCTGGGTAACAAGAGCGAAACTCCGTCTCAAAAAAA